TGGTTCAGCTGTTTATTGATAGGAGACGGCTGGAAGGTAGCGTGGCGCGGGTTGTTGTGGGCAAGGAAGCCCAAGAGGGGCGCCGAGCGGGCGCGCGTGGGGGAGCGCCCCCAAGGAGAGGTGTGGTCAGGGCCGTGGGCCCCGGTCAAGTGTCCTGGGTCAACTGTCTTGTGGCTTCGAGCGCTGGTCGCGGGTCCCTAGCAGTGGAGACGCGGGAAGGTAACCCTTGTTCCTCAGAGAGAGAGAGAGAGAGAGAGATACACACACACACATATATATATATATTATATATATATATATATATATATATATATATATATATATAATATAATATATATATATATATATATATATATATATATATATATATATATATATATATATATATATATATATATATATATATACATAATATAATATATATATATATATATATATATTATATATAATATATATATATATATATATATATATATATATATATATATATATATATATATATATATATATATATATATATATACGTGTGTGTGTATATCATCTTCATCAAGGAGATAACGTCGACGCGGGCGCATAGCTGTATCTGTCCTTTGTTTGTAGCTACGAGGGTCCCTCATGGCTAATCGCCAGGCAGGGGCATGGCCCATCTCAAGCTCCTCACGACAGTTGTGGTCAATTTGCCCAAGCCACTTCTTCCTAGGGTGTCTCACAGGCCTCCTCCACCCAGGGTTGTCTTACAAAGATATTTTGTTGGGCAGGATTATCCTGAGGAAAGCGAGTCAGGGCCCTGATTCACTAACGCACTTACGATGGTAAAATCATTGGTAACTAGACAGCGGTAGTATTCACTAACAACTTGCCATCGGGTTACCATGGTAAATTTTACCAGTGGTCAGAGCACTGGTAACTTCTTGGAAGATGATGTCATCACGTGTTATCTCGTCAAAAAATCAATATCTAATCAAAGTTTTAGGTTTTCTTTTACACCTGATGTTACTAATATGATGGCAAACACATATCGTAATACAGACATAGTAAAGTAATGTAAATTTCACATGAAACTAGCAAGAATAAAATCCTTACAAATTCTCGTAAAATTATAGGCCTATATTATACTAGAATGCATGGAATCGATAGGTAAGTGAACTCCTATTGAATTCTTCTATGACATAATTATTACAATTGATATAGAAAAACTACCTTGCCGATATATAAACTGGCAATACCAACGATAAACGAGTATAGCAATTTCTGTCTATCGGCATTTTGACAATAAACTCCAAAGTGCATGGTCAAGAATAAGCTTGAAATATTTCCTTTGACGACAGATAGCGATTACTAAAGAAAATAGGTCCGGTTCTTTGTTTAACAATGATGAAAAATAAATGAGTAAATTGTTTGGACTAATATTAATAATAATATAATAATATTTATTAATAATATATTAATAGAAGTGTTTGTATTGGTTCCTTTCTATACAGTAAATATATATCCCACTTGATGGATATGATCAAATAAATATATTTATTTTTTCTATATGTGCTTGAATAGTGTTTTATCTTTAAAGATTTTTTAAAATCTTGCTGTATGTAGTTTTGTTTACGTTACGTGATTGGCCGAAGGAACCTAAAATATTATATATAGCGCTCGCTGATTGGTTTACTAGAGCCCTTTGTTGGCTACCATTAGAATGAGTCGATTTGCGATTGTAACTCAGCATATCCAAATTACCATTTCTTAGTGAATACCACTTTGCCATCACTGGTAAATGCAATGGTAAATGACCGCTGGTAAATGCATTACGATCGTATGTTAGTGAATCCGGCCCCAGATGGCCATATAGCCGGAGTTGTCGATCACAGATTGTGCAGGTGATAGGTCCTATGCCAGTCTCACGGTGCAACCATTGGTTTGACATGTGGTCCCATCAACAGTACCCCATGAACTGGCGCAAGGACCTGTTACAGAAGTCATCAAGACGTGACTCCAAGGAACAGGATAATGTCTAGGTTTGACTACCATATAGGAAAACTGACATTGAAGCTTGGTCCTTCTGCACAGGTACCAGCATCTCCAAATATTCTTGTCAAGAGAGTTCATACCCCTGCTGCCAGGCCAATCCAATAGCAACATCATCAGCAAATTCAAGGTCTGTAACCTTGATATTGCCTAGAGTTGCTCCACAATGACTTTGAACAATAGCTCTGCCCATTATTCAGTCCATGCAAGTGTTGAAAAGTGTTGGTGCAAGGACACAGCCTTGCTTCACTCCTGAACTTACAGGAAAGAAGCTCGACAGGCCCCCACCACACTTTACAGCACTTTCACTACCAGTATACAAACGCTATTAGTCCAATAATCCTTGTTGGAATTCCTCACAGTCTCAAGATATCCTAGAGTGATTCACGATACACCCTATCGAACGCCTTCTTGAGGTCGATGTATACTGCAAGCAGCCCACACCAGAACTCACGACGGCGTTCTACGGTGACTCAAAGCG